TTCATAAACTGATGCTAAATTTTTCTAAAGTTCAGAATTAAAATTATAACATTTGTGCATTTCATTAACACAGTAAGCAGCTTTGTGAGGTTTTATTTACTGTAACTATTATGCAAACACAGATCAACCTATTCACCTTTTGACGTCCAATGTTTTATCTCTTCCACATCATCTAACATGATGTCCTGGGTGTCCTGAACTTCGTTCATTTTTCTCATGAACTCCTCTCTTTTCTCAATCTCCATAATCAGTATCAGTCCTGGTACCAAATCATCAAGCCTGGCATTAAAATCATTAAATCCTCCAGCAATATCACCTTTTTCCCAAACCTTTTTCCAAGTTGTCATTTCTGCTATCCTTTGAAGGAATTCATTAATATCAACTATGCAATTTTTTAGTTCTTCCAATTCATTCAAGAACCTGTCATAGTCATTCAATTGGTTATCAGATGAAAGGCTTTTGGCCAATTGAATTGGTTCATTTAATAATTGTACTCTATCTGCCAATCGCTTTGAGTCACCTTTAAATTGTTTAACTTGCTGAGCAATATTATAACATTGCTCAGAAAGAGATAATACTGCTGAAATAATTTCTAATGCCATTGCAACCACCTGAAAATTTAAATATACGTATATCTTTTAGAATAATACAATAATTAGGCCAAAATCTACACAAAACATGCCTATCAAATTAATTTTAATTAAATTTTCATTTTTCATCAAACATTCTGTTTGCAAAATTGCATAAAATTATGGTAGAATTTTTTTGGGAAATTTGAAAAGTGCACCCTCTAATTTAAGACCACGTTTGTGACCTGAAATTGTGGTGATCTTGTTTGTGGTTAAGTCTCCTATTATAGCATTTGCTTTGTATTCAAAGATTAAAGGTAAATGATTGGTACTGTAATTAGAGGGGTTTCAGAATTGACCCTAAAGTTCTCCAATTTCAGCATGCAGTGATACCCACGATTCAAGATTTTTAAAAAGAAATAATATATTATGATGGGCCAAAAGATTTTGATTAAAATAAAATATAAAAGATATTATACCAGGAAGTATTCTACTATTCAATCTTTAAAACTTCCTGCTGCCTCTGTGGTAGGCGGCTAAATGATATCTCAATCAATGTGCCTGCTATTCTTAAATTTAAATATGATTAGTGATGATGAAAAGTCGATTCAATCATGGAGGTATTATACCTCCATGATTCAATACTCCACTCTCTCAAGCATACAACTCCGGGAGGCGGACGTGCCACCCGTTCGAGCAGAAATTACGCCATGATACCTTTAAAACAAATCACTCTGTTTGTGTCATTTTATAAAGGCCTAGCCTATACTGATACAAATGTTCCGGTCAAAGATTCCTTGCCATAAGATGGCTGGCTAAAGCTTCAAGAATGTAATGTTATCATTCATTTCTAATTAACAATCAATGTTTAGAAAACGGTTATAAAAAGAAAATACCTGTAACTTAAATTTACAAGCCGTATTCCAGACTTGGCGTCAACACTGATTTTCTTCTTGGTTACTACAGTACTGGAATTGTCTATTGATTGGCGTACATTCTTGGGAATTCCCCAATGACTAAGCACGTGACGTCACAATCTATGTTTCGGTTTTCACTTGTTGACGCGATAAACTGTTTTGTTCAATGAGTGCGAAGGGGAAGTATGCAATCCAATGATTTGATTTGATTTCATTTAAAAGGACGCTTTTCCGTGATGCGAGTGGAAATATATACGCTAACATGAGTAAAAGGTAGAATCAATACAATTTAACCCCTATTAACCGGGGACATACTGAATTTTTTTTTAATTCTATCAAAACATGGAGGAATAAATCAAAACAACTAAGTAACAGCTTCTCCAAATAAGAAAAAAATCATTCATATTTATATTTTGACACCTTCTGAGCAATAAACTTAACATAAAATACGAGATATTTTTTCTCTCAATCCTTAGAATGAACACTGGTAGGCCTAGGGCATGTGTTATTTCGTATAAATACAATTGTCAATTTTGACTATTAACATGGGGATTTCAAGAAACAATATTGGGAACATACAAATTTAGTATTTTTACATATTATGTTGATTTTATATCATAAATGAATTATTTTTTGCTACAAATTATTGTTATAAATTAGTTATAATTCAAATATAATTCATTTTTATATCAATAAGATAAACTTATAAAACATCTATGTCTAATAAAATTTGTTCATTTACTTATTATTATTACTGCTACAACCGACACTAGATCAAAAACAATAAGAGGGTCGGAATGGCTAAGAATAAAGAATGTAAAACAATGTCGATAACTCTGAATTAAAAAGCTTAACCAGTAGTACGTAACATGAAAGTTTTGTCAAATCTATGTCCATTGTACGAAATCATGTCAAAAACCCTTATTAAGGGCATAATTTCATGTATTTGGTTTAGTGTCCCATGAATAGGGGTACCCTTATTCAGAAGACAACCCTATTAAGGGGAGACTTTTTTGGTCACAAAGGTGTCCATTTAATTGGGAATAACACCCCACACATCCCCTCCCCATAGACCTTATAATCCTGGCGGCGGTACTTGGCCGGGTAGCATTATAAGCCTATAGTTGAAGTTGAAGTTTTTACTATTTAGACTACATGGTTGATTTTTCCAATGTCATAAAGCAGTGGTGGGTGGTGGTAGTTCCAGAAATTTGTCTGAGGGGGTTCAAACCAGGGACCCTGTTCAAGGTAAGGGGCCGACAAGATACAACAGCCTTGATTAGGGTCACATCCCGGAATAAATATCCCAGGGTTCAAGGGGATAGCTTTTATGGTTTAATACGGCCCAAACTCTATCGTGGGGATTAGCAATCAAAATAAGACGTTATTTGCAGTGGCAGATCCAGAGAGGGTTCAAGGGGTTCGGACGAACCCCCCTCTGTGAAGAAGAAGAAACGTAACAAAATACAGGTGGGTCCTGGCTTACAAAAGACATGCTTACCTACCTAGGCATAGGTTGGAAGATCAGACAAACTAGGCTTAGCCCAACTAGTTTTCAATTAAATAAATATACACACTGATTTTAGTTCGCCTTCGTAATAATTTATGTACGAAAGTGCGTTCTTCAGGCCTATCGGTTCATCGATCCATGCAAGAAATACTACATATCTTTTATTTGTTTATTAATATTTAATATAATAATATATTGCCTGTCTTTGATTTTTTCCATCTATGATAGGCCTAAAGAATGAGATAAAATTACCTGACCTTTTTTCAAGAGGGGTAAAACCTTGAATTTTTAAGAACTTAAGGTCATTAAAAGACTCCTCAGAAGTCGGGAAAGCTCATTTCCAGCCCTCTAAGAATCAAAATTTTCATGGGGGAGGACCCCACCCCCCTTTCATTTTATGGTTTTTTTGTTAACATTTTGAACCCCACTCTTTTAAATCTTGGATCCGCCCCTGATTTGGATAAGCAAATTAATATTTTTGGACTTGTCGTCGATGATTAAGTGAGTGGTCATGATTATGACGTCATTTTACTTAATTTGTGAAATTATTTTTTATACGATACGTCACTTTATCGAATCGTGCTGTGTGAAAACTTCTCTTATTTCTTTTATTTTCTATATAAACAATTGCTTTTTAGCTTTTTATCATTGGTCGTTGTCGTCATAGTGTAAACAGGACTTAAGTAATATTCAGATGAGTTCAGGCTATATCTTAACAAAATACATCCACACTTAAACAATACATGATATTTATGCCCTACTAATGCATAATTACAATTCATTATGGAAATATCTACTAAAAAACTCATATAATACTGTAAGTAATGACAAATTGTTAACGTTTTTTTTAAGTGGTATCATTGACCAAATTACCTCTTAAATCTATAACAAATTGATTTACATATAGGCCTCATTCATTCATGTTCTTAGCTAGGTATGCTGGGGTATATGGTGGGGGGGGGGATATGAGTCACAGTAGTTCAATCAGGTTGGGAGTGATGCCTGTATTTAGAACCTACCGGAATAACTTTCCTACTCGTTGATGCATAGTATATTAGGGTGTGGGTGTGGTATGTCAGTCACTAGGACCTTATTAAAGTAACATTCCTGCCCCCGATGCATAGTGTGATGGTGGGGTATGCAAGTCATTATGCTGATAATCATAGTGGCGAAACCTCTTTATACGTCTGTTACCATCATACAGTAGGTCGCTAAGGTTTGGGCAGTGGGTTTTTTAAAAACTTATCAGAATAGTCCATACACACTGATGCATATATTGCTTATGGTATTTTGGTCACTGATAATTCACAGTCAGCACCGCATCATCTGACGATCACATGGAGCGAAGTTGAATTCTTCAGCCGACGGTCATACAAGCGTCGTACCTGGAAGTGAGTGCCTGTCTTAATAAATATCTGCTAAGTTTCCTTTAATTTTTTAAGCTGTGCTTCTTATTTTGTTATTTTATTTTGTTCCTTGGAAGCCTTATAACCATTAAATGTTTATTCTCCTTATTAATTTTTCTGTTCACAATCTTCAAGCTTTATTGCTTTCAATGCATCAACAATCGCTGAAAGATAGAAAAACAATTAGATTGAATTGGATTGAATTTATTCGGTGTGAACACCAAGACAGGGGTATCAAACTGGAAGAAGTCTCTTCAGGGAGATCTGTTAAATGTGTCTCTTTAATTTATTTTGCTACGCATGGTGGGGCCCATTGGCAATGACTTCCATGGGACAATTGGTAAGAAAATAGTAAGAACATGCAAATATTACATACAGTATTTGCGAGAAATGAATTATTATTCCTGAGCTTTTTGCTTGTTTGCAGGAATGCCGAAGTCCATGCTGATTTCTGGGAGATTGCTGTTACTTCCACGAGAATTGGGACCTGCCAGGGATAACCCACGAAAGTCCAAAGACTTACTTCCAGTGGGGTGCTTCTGGTGGCGATTGGCAGCACACTGGGAGACAATCCCTACACTTTCTGAAGAGTGCACTGCGTACTATAAAAGTGTACATACAAGCCATATTGCGCATGGGACCAACAGTTTAAACGTCCCGCCTGAAAGTTGGTGCGCTTTCTAATACTTGTATTTCAGCCCGCTACTATTAAAACACAAGGAGATCAGTGGATGAAATTGAACCGGGTATCAAAGAACTCTAACCTTATAATGATGATTAATTAAAATCAATTTGCCATGTACTATCATATATAAAAGATATTGTCGTATAATGTTATATATGCTTAAATTTTAATGTAATGCAATATGTCTGACTTTTAATATGCTGTTGATTTAGCTTCTCATAATTTCAGAGCAACGTACCATTTATGTTTGGCCTTAGAATCCGATCACCTCTCATACACTTCAAAATCAATTCACCTCGTGATCCAAAATTATCAGGAATGGGTAGCTGTTTTTCATTTTTTGCATAATCCATAACTTCCATTTGACTCATTCCTGGAAAACATAACATTTACTTACACTCACTAAATTTAATAGAAACATACCCTCTACACTAAACTGCTGAAAATACTTTGTTACTCTTCTATTGTCTGCTACAGTTGCATATGAAGTACAGTATGTACATGCCTCCCCCAACCTTTCCCAAAACAAAAGCTGTGGACTCACACTGGAAATGTTGAAAGGAAAAATATTACACCCAAAATCACCTCATATCACCTTATTTTGCCAGCTAGTGCGCCACATTTAATCATCGAGCAACCCCCAATTCACACACATATCAGCACCCCCCACCATTTCAAGACACTGATTAAACTAAAAAAATTCAAAACCTCTGGTTCTACACATTGTCATTTTGAAGCAGACACTAGATAGCGTAACACCTCTTGAAAAGATGGCCATCTCGAAAAGAAGCCAGACCTAATTTATTTAAGGTTTTATATTCTTTTTTTTTTTTATTAATTCTAATTGGAATGAATCTGTCACAGTATATTTTCTCATGACCAAAAACAAGGACTCTATAAGCCTCATGTGGGACTTACGACCGTATTCTTAAAACGAATATTAGTCAACCTTTGAACTAGAACTTCATTATTTTTAGTTGCAACTTTAACTTCATTTTGTATTCATAAAAAACTTTGTCGAAAGTTCATTTTAAGAATACGAAATGACATAATTTTGAAGTTTTAGCTCGAACTACGACTAAAGTTTAATGTTTTAAGAATACCGGGGTTAGTCTTTGTAGAGCATCTTGTGCTTATGTTTGTCTTGTGAAGGAATCTCTTTGGTATACCCTTGGCCCTGATGCTTAAATGTGTATAGTATAAATAAAATAAAAATTTAAATAAAAGTATACTCAGGGGCGTACTCAGGGGGGTCGATGGGTGCGGTCGACCCCCCCACTTTTAAAGAAAGTGCCCTTTAAATATGCTCGCTTCACTCACAAATAACACACCCCGCGAATTCTGAAAGCTTCGCTAAATTGCTCCGAGTTCAGCTTGCCCCCTGTGCTTTCGTTTCGACCCCCCTTAGATTTTTCACCGTACGCCCCTGATACTTACCTTCGTATGGCTCATTTCCTGTAAATATCTCCCATAAGACAATTCCAAAACTGTATAAAAAGAAAATATAAAATAAAACTGAATTTTCTCTAGCTTTTGTACAGTTTCTTGATCAAGTCCACTGTGTAGACGAAAGCTAGAGAAAATTAATGTATAGTTAGTCTACAAAAACCGAAAGGTCCACTGATTAATCTCAGATAAGATAGTATAATACATACTCCAAGTATTTAAATGCACGCCATCGTGTCGGGATTCAATATTTCGACATTAATGTCATCATCAGTAAAGAAATATTATTATCCATATTTGAAAGCTTATATGCACAAGTACCAAAAGTGTTGAACAATTAAAACATTACCCCTAGTAGGTGTTGGTGACATAGCTGTGAATAAACTAAAGATCAAAGCATTATTACCCTACTGATCAGGGGCGGATCCAGAAATGTCCAAAAGGGGGGGCCGGAAGGGGGGCCGAAAGTTGGGCCGATTGAGACAACAGTGTCGTAGGGGGGTCCGGGGCATGCCCCCGCGATTTTTTTGTGTTCTAGACGCCCGAACATAACATTTGAGGCATTCTGGGCTATCATTTTTTTCTTTTTCTCTCTTTTTTTTCATTTTTTTCCTTTTTTTTACCTCCCAAAAGGGGGGCCGGGGCCGGGCCGGCCCCCCCCTAAATCCGCCCCTGCTGATCAAAGCTACCTACAAAAACAAAGAAAGCTCCTTTGAAGCTTTCAGCCCATTGTTAAGCAATGGGTGTAGCCTACGTATAGCAAACGCTTCTTTAAACAATAGTAGACCAATTTTGCGAACTGTCAATAATGTTAAGTATTAGAAAATATTAAACCTAATGTATTGCTTACATGAAAGGCTACATTATCATTTTCAAGTATACCTTGTAAACCTATAACATATTGGAATGCCTCACAATATGATCATTTTTATAACACTATCAGATCGTGAAGAATGTTCTTTAAAGTCTAGTTATTAAGCATCTATCTGTCTTACCAATATAATCACTATTACAACTATTACAACCAAAAACAAGTGTAACAAAAGCAAAGCATGGTGTGTGGCTTCGAGAAGGGGAAACCATCAACTGAGTTCGGGACTGGGATACTTCCACAAGTGAATGTACGCAGACAGCTCACTGGCTAGTTCGATGTAGCAGCAGTTTCTGCCTTTGCCTAGTGCATTGGGTCTGTTACCGCTAGACTGCAAAGAAAATAGCCCTATCCGAGTCTGAAGAAGTAACTTCTTACTCAGCTACACCGCACATATTTGTTCCAAAGTAATACTAAAATAAACAAGCTTAACTAACATTTAGTTAGTATTAATTACATTGTTTTGCCTTATCCAGTTATTCAATCATGGGTGTAGGACCCTGGTGGGCAAAGTGCAGCCCGCAGGCTGCATGTGGCCGAACAATAAACGGTATTATAATAAAATAACTTATTTATATATGAATTGAAGTTAATGTCACAGTATTTATGTTAATTTGCTATTTACTCACCAGTATATTTCACATTGAAAATCATATACATGTTTAGCACTTTTCAAAAGCTCTGGGGCATGATATCTTTTTGCTTGAGTTGGTACACTACTATGCTTTCGAGCTGACTCCCATGTCTTCGAGAGACCAACATCACTTAGCTGCATTCAAAATAATAATATTTGTATTACCGTACATAATAAATGAAATAAAGTTAGAAATGGGGAAAAAATGAAATGAGTCAAGAGATCTTGGGATTTTGATAGCCCTAGTTCAATCAATCAATCTATCAAAATGGCAATGGTAGTTACCAACACAGTTGTTAGGCCAATAAACAAAATTGTGTTGGCCACGTTTTGAAAAATCCAAAAAATGGGTAGGTCGGTAGGAAAAGTTTTTTTTATTTTTTTACCAAAAATTGTTTATGCCTAAAAAGTAGAAAATACACAAAAATACAGCAAAACAATCACATAACACTGTTGCATCGCCTACTGTCGCAAGATAGGCCTATTCCAGCTTTTTGAGCTCATTAAAAAATTTGATGTAAAAAGAAACAAAAACTAAAATGCTGAATCTTAATTTTGAACATTTTGGGTCGGTCAGGCATGGCCAACACAATAATTTTGGCCTTATGGAGGTCCGACTTTTATCTTATCAGTTTAAAAGAGTAGGCTCCATGTCTCCCAAAAAACACAGTTAAACAGTCCATAGCTTTTCTCTAGTTATTTTATTGGCAGTTATTGTCTTTCATTCATTCATTCACTCTTTATTTAGCTAATTAAAAACAAATGACCATACTTGATGTTTTAAATAAATGTCGACAAATGGCCTTGTATTCTCATCTTATTTTTGTACTAAAAGTCACATGCAAGCAAGTAGCCAGGGGTTTCTTGGGGTTAGAGGGGTTTGAAAAAAAACCCCACCCCCTTTTCTAGAAATGCCTTTTTAAATTATTATTATTATTATAAGCACCATTTGCATGATAAGTTAAAAAATCACCAAACATTTAAAATTTGGAATTTTTTTTGTGGTATTTCCAGACATGTGAGGTTTTCATATTTGTTAATTTTCCCTCAATCATGGTTGGGCTGAGGTAGGTGTGGACACAGTTCCCCTTATGCATTTGACATTTTAATGGCTGATAATTTCAAGGTGTTTAAAACTTTATATAAATATACAATGGAATAGTGAAATTCCATATGGTGTAATTACCGTACTGACAAAAAATGAAATCAATGTCTAACGCCCCGTCCAGTAATATGGTCATGATGACATCACATCATGACCATATATAGGCATATCACGACTATATATGGGCATACAACAGTTTTTTGTCAAAGAAAATTTGATAGTGTGTAGAGCTTTACCTTAACTGTTAACTTATTGTCAACAAGATATTTCATTGATGTCAGATTACGATGTAGCCAGAGTTGATTGTGGATGACATACAGGCCCAATGCAGAATCTAATGCCATGCGAAGTCTCTGTGTGTCAGTGAGTTGGCTATTTTTGTCAAGAAACTTTCTCAAGTGCCCATTCTCCATGTATTCAAATACAATCATATTATCATCTACAAATAAAATAGATATGTTATTAATATATTGTATACTGATCAGGCTTTGTTTATAATAGTTATATGTTTGTTTATAATAATAATAATAATAATAATAAGTTACATTTATATAGCACATATTGCACAGTGCCTCTATGCACTTTACATAAAATTATAGAAATTATAAAAAAGATGTTGAATTTACAATATAATAGGGTGTGGTGGCAAAACAACGCTAGGTCTCAAAGGGTCAACTATCCGCCTCTGCCCTAGCGCAGTCCCGGTCCCCTACCTAGTGCTCAGAGTCTGCGACCAAGATAACGGCCCCAAGAGACAAAGCAGGCCACTCCGTTGTGAAGGCACACGATATAAATTATTAAACAGTTAATTGTTGAAATAAATGGGTTTTAACTAGTGACTTAAATGTGTCTACTGATTTTGATTCTTTTATAAATAATGGTATGTTTTGTTCCAATTAAGGGGAGATGATGAGGAAAAGGCACTGCTGCCATAAGTGATTGTAGAGGTTTTAGGCACTTCCTGTCTTTATGCTAAGACATTTCCAATTTTTCAAATTATTACCTAAAACTTAGTTTATGTTACAACCCTTTCCATTTGACTATACTCAAATTCAAAATTTGAATAACTATCCAGCAATTAAGAATGACTACAGTGATATGAAAACTATTATGATGTGTTGATGATGATGCATCAGAAAATATCATAGGGGGTGATGTTTTTGCCCTACCTGACATGTTATCATACTGTATGCTCAGTACATTCCCAAATACTTGTGAACAAAATTTGCAAGTGATTCAATGGGAATTTAACCCATGACCTCCAGATAAGCAACCTGGCACCCTAACCACTACACTACCAAGCTTCAGCTTAGTGACTAATGTGCTGAATCTGATCCTCATGTAGCAGCGAGTACTGCAATATTATTTTGTGTTATTTTTGTGTTTTATTTCCAGGTAGGGCAAAAAAAAAAGTGAAGATATCATATTTGTATAGCATTATGTTAGTATAAAACCATTTCAATTCCATAGTTTAAACTACTTTAATTTATCTCACCATGATTATTCTTATTTCTTAAGCTTTTAGAGAAAAAAAAATGATTTTTGTTTGCAGCATGCTTACTTCCTTCTGTGCAAATGCCCCAAAGCTTGACAATGAACGGTGACTCCAACGTTTTAAGTATAAGGGCTTCCCTTTTCAAATTTGTTTTAATATCTTGGCTTTCATATCTATGTAGAAAAAAGAAAATATTTGTTATTCTCGTTGTTTCTTCCCCTGCCCCTACCAAATAGTAGGCCCTCTCTCCTAATTTTTGTATATTCTTACGTACACTATGTTGTACCCACACACAAGTCAATATAATAGTGCAAAATCTAAATCGAGAAGAGAAATGTGCAAATACTAGTAATAATAAAGATAACACGTACAATTTTTTAACTGCTACCTTCACGCCAAATGATCTATAGTGTGCGAAGTACAGTTCCCCAAATGTGCCATCCTGAACATTAGGCTGGTATTCCATGCCTTGCAAATCACGAACATTTATTTCTTTTAAATCCAGTGGTACAATGCTTTTACTCGGAAGTGATTGCAGGACTGTAAAGAAAAATTAACTTTAATGTATAATCACTGTATATTAATATGGTAATAATAAAAATAACATGATAATGATGATGATGATAATAATAATAATTAATAATAATAATAATTTTACTCAATCAGACTTAATTGGAATATCATTTATGTTATTTTCCCCTTAACGTCATGTTATTTTTCCCTTAACGTTGTTACTTTTTGTCTTGTCACTTTATGTCTGTAGATTATATACCAAATAGTATCTGGGCTATTGTTTACAAACTGTATAATTAAAAACTATTTAATCATAGATTTTTTGCATAATTAGTATACCAAATTCTTAATAATACTTATAATAATAATAAGATTTATAAAGTGCAAAAATCCACTGCAGTAGTGCTCAAGGCGCTCAGTACAGGAGGAAGGAAGCAAATATTACCATGAACCTTAAGGCTACAAGAAAAGAGTGGGGTAGCCTATTCATAGTTCACAGGTACTCAAGTAGTGAGGGTATCTAACTAAAACAAATTAGGCTTGCAATCATGACAAACAAGAGAACTAAGAAAAAGCAGCCAACAACAGGTGTCTTGAGAGCTTTTTTGAACAAAGTGGATTGACACAAGTGAATATTTATTGGCCTTCAAGCACACCCTTCAGAGGCTTCCTTCCTTTTGCTTCTATTCTAGTCAGCGATTCTAGTACTGTCAATAGCACAATGCACTGACTGTACAAACATATTATACTCCAAGATGGTACCTCAAATGCAGAAGTGCATGTTACAAATTATATTTGTATTAATTTTATGAATTTTATCATAAATTTTATCACATAGTCTAACTTCACCCCTTTAACTTTTTGCCTCTGTTGTTGTCAAACATGTTAATAAAATTGTTTTTACTGGAAATACCACCCCAAACCCGTTGAAATCCGACCTTGGTCATTGGTTTGCTTTCTTTTCTTTCTTGCTTTCCTAATTCTTCCTTAGATTTTTATGTTAGGTTAGGATAGGTTGTATTGTGTAACATCCAGTGGATGTAATATTTCTATTTGGCATCCTACTTTTTATTTAAAAACACATGGAAAAATGATATTAAATTAATGAAAAGTTTTTTTTATTTTTTATCCCCTATTACCTTTGACGTACGTTGGTCTTTGATTCAACAAAAGCATACTCTGTTGATTTTGGTTTGGATGCACACTTGAGGGAAATATTGATCACAGTGGAGGGTAAATCAGTGGACACATTTAAGTTACTACTTAAAACCCATTTATTTCAACAAATAACTCTTTAATAATTTAATCGTGTTCCTTCACAACAGAGTGGCCTGCTTTGTCTCTTGGGGCCGCTATCTTGGTCGCAGACTCTGAGCACCCGGTCGCCTGTGGCAGGGAAAATGTGAAACTTGCTCCTTTGTTCGCGCCACTAGGTAGGGGACCGGGACTGCGCTAGGGCAGAGACTTAGCGTTGTTTTGCCACCACACCCCATTATATTGTAAATTCAACATCTTTTCTATAATTTCTATAATTTTATGTAAAGCGCATAGAGGCACTGTGCAATATGCGCTATATAAATGTAACTTAACTTATTATTATTAACACTTTGTAACCGCAAGGAATAAGAGCTACAAAAGTACCGAGTAACAAGTAACAAATAAATGGCAAAGTAAGTTACTTTAGATTTTAACAAGCAATTTATTGTGGAGTCATAGCCATCGATATGCTCTGCCCCTACTTTTGCGCCTTGCGTAAAGTTCAGTGGATGTAATATTTCTAATCAGCACCCCCTTTTAAAAATCCTGGCTACGCCACTCTACGTAACAAGGAGCTATGCATTTGGCTGATTGGTATGGTTCCTGCCTCTTGCACGCCAGGGCCCAGGTTCGAGACCCAGCTCTGCAGCCTAATATTGAATTCGAGACTCTTATAAACGCTCAGATCCTCGAATAACCCTTTCAGGAGAGTTAGGCGAGTTAAGGACCATTTAGTATCCGTTGTATTTTAAGTCAGGTGGTGCTGACTTTGTTTTGTATTAATAATCTAGGAGTTGAGTCAAGTCTAGAAAAAATAATACTACACTATAAAAAGTATTTTTTAATTACTTTTATCCAGAGTACTCTTGATCTCTTCATTTCCTCTGACCACAGTTTCTCTTACTAAAAAAAAGAATAAAATTTAATGAACATAGTACTGTATATAAATTGACAAAGACTGCTCTTCTTTACCGTTTAAAACTTATATGTATAAAGCATTACTGCAAGATGATTTAGAGCTAATCTCTTCATGTGTTACATTCCTCATAATAAAGTATCTCTTTGGAGATCTCGTCTTGTCGTTTAAAATGCTTAAGATGGTGTATCACATTGACCGTTGTTTAATGTGTATGCATCAAATACTAGTGTTGTATTGGCATACTGTAATGTGCAAAATGTGCGAAATGAATTGCCTTTAATTGGATTCGAACCATTTAAAACTCTATACCGTCTTGCGGTAATGCTATAGATAAATTTTGAACCTTAAAGAGGAATCTGCAAATGTGAAGAAATAGGTGCCCCAACTGGGATACGAACCCAGGACCTTCTGCTGTCTATGCAGACATCTTAACCAACTGATTAATTAAGGTTTTGTTGGGAAATCAAATCTGATTAAAGCATCTAATTCTTCACACCCATGCACATGCATAGATGGACAGCACTAGTTTTTGATGCATGCATTTGGTCTCTTATACACATCTAGATGTGTATAAGAGACAGGGGTAAATCAGT